CTAATTCTGAACTGACCTCATCACTTCTTTATTATAACTTGCAAGCAATAAGAAGTTGTTCTTTCTTTTATTTATTTATTTATTTTTATTTTTTAAAATGTATTTTATTGTAATTTAGGTTTGGGGTACTTGTGCAGAACATGCAGTATTGTTGCATAGGTAAATACATGGCAGTGTAGTTTGCTGCCTCCATCCCTGCCACCTGTATCTGACATTTCTCCCCATGTTACCCCTCCCCTACTCCCTACTTTCTGCTGTCCCTCCCTAAATCCCCCCCTACAGCAGACCCCAGTGTGTGATGCTCCCCTCCCTGTGTCCATGTGTTCTCATTGTTCAAGACCTGCCTATGAGTGAGAACATGTGGTGTTTGATTTTCTGTTCTTTTGTCAGATTGCTGAGAATGATGGTTTCCAGATTCATCCATGTCCCTGCAAAGGACACGAACTCATCGTTTTTTATGGCTGCATAATATTCCATGGTGTATATGTGCCACCTTTTCCTTATCCAGTCTATCATCTATGGGCATTTGGGTTGGTTCCAGGTCTTTGCTATTGTAAACAATGCCACAATGAACATACGTATGCTTGTGTCTTTATAATAGAACGATTTATAATCCTTTGATTATATACCCAGTAATGGGATTGCTGGGTAAATGTTATTTCTAGTTCTAGATCCTTGAGAAATTTGCCACACTGTCTTCCACAATGGTTGAACTAATTTACACTCCCACCAACAGTGTAAAAGTGTTCCTATTTCTCCACATCTTCTCCAGCACCTGTTGTCTCCAGATTTTTTAATGATTGCCATTTAACGGGAGTGAGATGGTATCTCAATGTTGTTTTGATTTGCATTTATCTAAAGACCAGTGATGATGAGCATTTCTTCATATGTTTGTTGGCCTCATGTATGTCTTCTTTTGAAAAGTGTCTGTCTATATCCTTTGCCCACTTTTGAATGAGTTCGTTTGTTTTTTTTCTTGTAAATCTGTTTTAGTTCTTTGTAGATTCTGGATATTAGCCCTTAGTCAGATGGGTAGATTGCAAAAATGTTTTCCCATTCTGTTGGTTACCAGTTCACCCTAACTACTGTTTCCTTTGCTGTGCAGAAGCTCTGGAGTTTAAGTAGATCCCATTTGTCTATTTTGGCTTTTGTTGCCAATGCTTTCGGTGTTTTAGTCATGAAGTCCTTGCCTATGCCTATGTCCTTATTGGTTTTGCCTAGGTTTACTTCTAGGGTTTTTATGGTGTTAGGTCTTATGTTTAAATCTTTAATCCATCTGGAGTTAATTTGAGTGTGAGGTGTCAGGAAAGGGTCCAGTTTCTGCTTTCTGCACACTGCTAGCCAGTTTTCCCAACACCATTTATTAAAAAGGAAATCCTTTCTCCATTGCTTGTTTTTGTCAGGTTTGTCAAAGATCAGATGGGTGTAGATGTGTGGCATTGCCTCTGAGGCTTCTGTTCTGTTCCATTGGTGTATATCTCTATTTTGGTACCGGTACCATTCTGTTTTGATTACTGTAGCCTTGTAGTATAGTTTAAGTCCAGTAGCATGATGACTCCAGCTTTGTTCTTTTTGCTTAAGATTGTCTTGGCTATGTGGGCTCTCTTTTGGTTCCATATGAAGTTTAAGGTGGTTTTTTTCCTGTGAAAGGGGTCATAGATAGCTTGATGGGGATAGCGTTAAATGTATAAATTACGTTGGGCAGTATGGCTGTTTTCACAATATTGATTCTTCCTAAACATGAACATGGAATGTTTTTCCATCTGTTTGTGTCATCTCTTATTTCCTTGAGTGGTGGTCGTAGTTCTCCTTGAAGGGCTCCTTTACATCCTTTGTTGGTTATATTCCTAGGTATTTTATTCTCTTTGTAGCAATTGTGAATGATAGTTTGTTCTTGATTTGGCTCTCTTTAAGTCTGTTTTTGGTGTATAGGAATGCTTGTGATTTCTGCACATTGATTTTGTATCTTGAGACTTTGCTGAAGTTGCTTATCAGTTTCAGGAGATTTTGGGCTGAGATGATGGGGTCTTCTAAATATACAATCATATCATCTGCAAATAGAGACAATTTGACTTCCCTGTATCCTAAATTGAATGCCCTTTATTTCTTTTTCTTGCCTGATTGCTCTGGCTAGAACTTCCAATAGTATATTGAATAGGAGTGGTGAGAGAGGGCATCCTTGTCTAGTGCCAGATTTCAAGGGAATGCGTCCAGTTCAGTATGATAGTGGCTGTAGGTTTATTGTGAATAGCTTTTATGATTTTGAGATGCCTTCCATCGATACCTAGTTTATTGACAGTTTTTAGCATAAAGGGCTGTTTAATTTTGTTGAAGGCCTTCTTTGCATCTATTGGTATAATCATGTGGTTTTTGTCTTTGGTTCTGCTTATGTGGTGGATTACATTTATAGACTTGCATATGTTGAACCAGACTTGCATCCCCAGGATGAAGTCTACTTGATCGTGATGGACAAGTTTTTTGATGTGCTGTTGCAATCGGTTTGCCAGTATTTGATTGAAGATTTTTGCATCTATGTTTGTCATGGATATTGGCCTGAAGTTTTCTTTCTTTGTTGAGTCTCTGCTGAGTTTTGGTATCAGGATGATGTTGGTCTCATAAAATGATTTGGAAAGGAGTTCCTCTTTTTGGATTGTTTGGAATAGTTTCAGAAGGAGTTATACCAGCTCCTCTTTGTATGTCTGGAAAAATTCAGCTGTGAACTCATCTGGACCTGGGCTTTTTTTGGTTGGTAGGCTATTATTTGCTGCCTCAACTTCACCCCTTGTTATTGGTCTATTCAGGGTTTCTACTTCTTCCTGGTTTAGGCTTGGGAGGGTACAAGTGTCCAGAAATTCATCAGTTTCTTCCAGGCTTACTAGTTTATGTGCATAGAGTTGTTTGTAGTAATTTCTGATGGTAGTTTGTATTTCTGTGGAATTTGTGGTGATATCATCTTTATCATTTTTTTATTGCATCTATTTGATTCTTCTCTCTTTTCTTTTTTGTTAATCTGTCAGGTGGTCTGTGTATTTTGTTCATCTTTTCAAAAAACTAGCTCCTGGATTTATTAATTTTTTTGAAGGGTTTTTCGTGTCTCTATCTCCTTCAGTTCTGCTCTGATCTTTGTTATTTCTTGACATCTGCTTGGTTATGAGTTTTTTTGATCTTGCTGCTCTAGCTCTTTCAATTTTGGTGATATGGTGCCAATTTTAGATCTTTCCTTGCTTCTCATATGGGAATTTATTGCTATAAATTTTCCTCTAGACACTGCTTTAAATGTGTTCCATAGATTTTGGTATATTGTGTCTTCATTTTCTTTGGTTTTGAAGAATATCTTTATTTCTGCCTTCATTTCATTGTTTATCCAGTCAACATTCAAGAGCCAATTGTTCAGTTTCCATGAAGTTGTGCAGTTCTGAGTTCGTTTCTTAATGCTGAGTTTTAATCCTAAGTTCTAATTTTATTGCACTGCGGCCTGAGAGACTGTTTGTTATGATTTCCATTCTTCTGCATTTGCTGAGGAGTGAATTACTTCCATTTATGTAGTCAGCTTTAGAGTAGGTGTGATGTGGTGCTGAGAATAATGTATATTCTGTGGATTTGGGGTGGAAAGTTCTGTATATGTCTATTAGGTTTGCTTGGTCCAGATCTGAGTGCAAGTCCTGGATGTCCTGGTTTATTTTCTGTTTCATTGATCTAATATTGACAGTGGAGTGTTAAAGTCTCCCACTATTATTGTGTGGGAGTCTAAGTCTCTTTGTAAATCATTAAGAACTTGCTTTATGTTTCTCAATGCTCCTGTATTGGTGCGTATATATTTAGGCTAGTTAGCTCTTCTTGTTGCATTTATCCTTTTACATATGTAATGCCCTTCTTTGGCTCTTTTGATCTCTGTTGGTTTAAAGTCTATTTTATCAGAGACTAGGATTGCAACGCCTGCTTTTTTTTTTTTTTTTTTTTTTTTGCTCTCCATTTGCTTGGTAAATCTTCCACCATCCCTTTGTTTTGAGCTATATGTATCCTTGCATGTGAGATGGCTTTCCTAGATATACCACACTGATGGGTTTTGACATTTTATCCAATTTGCCAGTCTGTGTCTTTTGATTGGGGCATTTAGCCCATTTACATTTAAGGCTAATATTGTTATGTATGAATTTGATCCTGCCATTTTGATGCTAGCTGGTTATTTTGCCCATTAGTTGAGGCAGTTTCTTCATTGTGTTGATGTTCTTTACCATTTGGTACTTTTTTGGAGTGGCTGGTACTAGTTATGCCTTTATATGTTTAGTGCTTCTTTCAGGAGCTTTTTTAAGGCAGGCCTGGTGGTGACAAAATCTCTGAGCAATTCCTTGTTCATAAAGGATTTTATTTCTTCTTTGCTTTTGAAGCTTAGTTTGGCTGGATATGAAATTCTAGGTTGAAAGTTCATTTCTTTAAGGATGTAGAATATCGGCTCCCACTCTTCTGGCTTGTAGGGTTTCTGATGAGAAATCCGCTGTGAGTCTGATAGGCTTCCCTTTGTGGGTAACCTGACCTTTCTTTCTGGCTGCCCTTAGCATTTTTCCTTCATTTCAACCCTGGTGAATCTGACAATTATGTGCCTTGGGGTTGCTCTTCTTGAGGAATATGTTTGTGGTGTTCTCTGTATTTCCTGGACTTGAATATTGGCCTGCCTTGCTAGGCTGGGAAGTTCTCCTGCATAATATCCTGAAGAGTGTTTTGCAGGTTGGATTCATAAAGTCCGTCACACTCAGGTACGCCGATCAGACATAGATTAGGTCTTTTCACATAATCACATATTTCTTGAGTGCTTCGTTCATTTTTTTACTCTTTTTTTCTCTAATCTTACCTTCTTGTTTTATTTCATTGAATTGATCTTCAATCTCTGATATCTTTTCTTCTGCTTTGTCGATTTGGCTATTGAAACTTGTGTATGCGTCACAAAGTTCTTGTGTTGTTTTTTCAGCTCCATCAATTTATTTATATACTTCTCTAAGCTGAAAAATATGGAACGCTTCATGAATTTGCATCTACTCCCTGTGCAGGGGTCATGCTAATCTTCTCTGCGTCTTTCCAATTTTAGTAAATGTGCTGCCAAAGTGAGCACAAGGAGCTGTTCTTTCTAGAAAATTTTCCTAGACCTGCTACTTCAGTAGGCATGTGGTCTGCCTTCCAAATCGTTTGAGGCAATAGTTTACCAGGTGTTTTGCCAGGGTATGCCAAATATTTGTGGGTTTCTCATCTCTAACAGCCTTCTGTTGCCCTAATGATAAACCAATGTCACATTTTAGGTATTATAATGGTAGCATTGCATATATGGTAGTTTTTTCTGTATTAGGTTAAGGATAGCAGCTAAATAAAGAAACTATAAAACACAATGCTTGAAACACAATGGAAATTTTTTTCTTTCTCACATAATTATCTGATGGTAGCTCTCTGCCATATAAATAATCGGGGACTCAGATTCTTTCTATGTTGTTTTCTTATTACCTCATGGGGCATTGTCTTCATTTGCAAGATTAAAACTATATCTCAGTGTTGTCCATCACGTAAAGAGGAGATTCTGGAGGAGATATGCTTAGAAGTGGGCACATTTATGTTCTGCTCATATTTTAATGGTGAAAACAAAGCCACATCTAACTGAAAGGGAATCTGGGAGGTGTAGTGTAGATAAGCAGCCTTGTACAAAGCTTCAGTCGTATTATAAAAAAGTGAGAATGTTAGTCAGCAGCCTCTGTTATGGGAGACAGTCTAAAAGTAGGGACCCTTGTTAAGAGGCTGCCGTAATCATAAGGTATGCAATGATCATGTCTTTGTAGAATGGTAGTAGTAGTAGTAGTAGTAAAGGTGTTGAGAAGGAGTTGGATTTTAGATATATTTTGAAAGCTAGTAGAATTTGCTGATGGGTTGGATATGAAAGAAGGTGACTCTAAGATTTTTGGTTTGTGCACCTGAGTAGTGACATGTACTGAGAAAGGGAAAATTGGAGGAAGGGCAATTTTGAGATGGGGAAAATAAAGAGTTAGATTTTGGACTGATTAGACATCCAAGTAAGGAGGTCATGTGAGGATATATAAGTTTGAAGTTCAGGAATATTATTGAAGATATAAATTTCTGGGGCCATCTGTGTGTAGATGGTATTTAAAGCCATGCATTTGTAATACCACCTAGAGAATTAGTGAAGCTTAAAAAAAAAAGGCAAAGAGCTCTAAGAACCGAGCTTTAGTGCACTCCTGTGTTTAGAAGCGAAGGAGATTAGGAGAAACCAACAAAGACTATTGACAGGGTGGCCATGGAGGTAGGGAAAGAATTAAGAGATAAAGTTTCCCTAAATAAAAGAGAAGGTATTTCAGGAAAGAGAAAGTGGCAGAATAGGTCAAATATTGGTATTTCAATGAAGTTGAAAATGACAATCAATCAGCAACGTTAAGTCCAACTGGTGACTTTGACAGAGTTGTTACATTGGATGGAGTGATTTGAAGAGATAATGGGACTAGAGGACGTGAAGAACAAACATGACCAAATTTTGGAGAAGTTTAGATATAAAGGGAAGTTGTGAAGTGGGTAGTAACTTGAAGGAAACTATGGGAACATGAGTGGGTTCTTTTAATATGAGAGATATTAAAACAGGCTATATATTCATAGGAATGATCCAGTAGGGAAAGAAACATATCACAATGTATAAGAGGGAGTGATAATCATTGGAATGATGGTAAGTGATGGGATCTGGCATTCCAGTGTTGATCTTGATCTCAAATAGTAACACCCTTCACCTATTGTCATGAAGGAAGGTAAGGAAAATGAATGTAGATGCAAGTAAATTGATAGGGCACGGCAGTGGAAATGTGTGGACATTCTTTTCTGATGGCTTCTACTTTATCAATCACGCAGGAAGCAGTGTCCTCAGCTAAGAGAGCATCAGGAGAGAGGAACTGGAGGTTTGAGAAGAGATGAGAAGTTGTGAATTGTGGTCTAGAAGAAGAGGAGTGAATGAGTTCAGCATATGTAGAAGAGTTGCTTGCTATTCCTGATGATAGATTTAAAGTGAAACAACCAGGAGAATTGAATATTTTTTTCCAACCTTGTTTATCTTTGTGATTGTAGGTGCAGAGTAGACAAGAATTGGTTTACCAGCACAGGGATTTAGCCAGGTGTGTCTGTCAAGGTCCAGTCAGAAGACAGAAACCATACCACCAACTAGAACAGAGAAAAATCTAAGATAAACAACAATACCTAGGTGAATGATGGTTATCTACTAGACAGGGGTGCACGGAGGCAGTGCCTGCAGAGGGAGACTGCATGCCTGCATGCCAGTCACAGCACCAGAAATGTCTCTTCTTTCACTTCTAGCCCTGCACTTTCCCTCTATCATTCTCTATGGGCAGAGCTTATTCTGGAGAAATGGCTACAGAAACCAGCTCTGGTATTACAAAGCAGGGCAAAGAAGACTGGGATTTGGAATTGAGAGACAACAACTTAGTAACTGGTGCAACCAGATGAGCACGAGGTGGACAGCGTAGGCAAGAAAAGTGAGGTTGTATGCTAGAGAGTGATTGTAATTATCATGGAATCTTATCTGGATGAGGAAGGTGAGAAGGAAAAGGAGGTGAAAGGCAATAAAAAGAAGCCACTCTTGTAACCTGCTGGAATGGCAGTCTCTGGAAGCGTGCACAGTATGACCCGCACAACCGTTTGTCAACACTCTGTAATGCACTGAAAGACCCATTTGGACCCCAGAAAGACTGGAAGAGGGTTCTACATGTGAACAGATCTGATTTTTCTGTCAATGTTCAGAATTATCACAAAGATCTGCTAGATGAATCCTGTTGGAGAAAGTAAGTGGAGAAACTAATTCGTGCTTAGGCACTTTCATTTACTGTAAGGACCATGGAGAAGGCAAATTTTCACCTAAGGTATTATTATTAAACATGGAAAAACTTAGGGATCTTTCAATACTTTTCCACTTTATTTCCTAAGCTATGAATAAGAATACTAAAAGATTCAGTTCTAGTCATAATGAAACAATGAATGTATTATGTTTTCCAAACTACACGAAGATTCTCACATTCCCCTTCTCCTTCGCTGCCCGCATCTCTTCCTCCTTCCACCCTCTTGAGAATCATTGACCTAAACATATAAATGTCTAATAGGGCAAGCTCAGGGATCTGCAAGAGGCCACTCAGGAAGAAATCTGAAGTGTGAAGCATTTTACCCCACTAAAATCATACTAGTTACTGACAGCCAACTCTGCCTGCCAGTAATTATAGCCTGTCAGGGTTCACAGGCACTTGCATTTCACAAGGATGTGTGAATTGCACATGTCTTACATTTCTTAGTAGGGGCCTGCCCTACAGCAATATTTTTACCAAATGACAGTTTTCAGGGAGGTATTGGATCTTATTTAAGTGAAAAAAATAATAATAATAGTTATTCTTCACTATAAGACCACAAAGGAGGCTGCAATTAATGAATTTGCAGAGTCAGGAACATTGCTCAAGGCATTAGCTGTTTGGTTTAGAGCTGTTTGTTTACAAGTCATTAGGAGACCCCAGACTCATTTGTGGTGACAGGTAGTCTTCATTCGTTTATCTGCTTTTTTTTCCTCCTTAAACTAATTTTTTATTTTGTTAAATACATAACATAAAAATGACTATTTTAACCTACTCATTTAGGTGTCTCATGGGTAAGCTGCCTCTTTTTAATCTACCTATGCAATATAAAATTAAGAGCCAATTACACTGTCATCAAATAGAGGAGCGTTTTTAAAAGATAACTGGAGAGTAATATACAAGGTTTTCTCATCACTACACCTAATTGCAAAGAGGAGCAAAGGATTTTTCATGAGTATTTGAACTACAATTAAAGATAAATAATCAACTATGAACTTTCCATTATTTTAGCAGTGTGCTCTCTGAGGCCACCAAACTTTTCCCAGGGGAAAATAGATTACTGTTTGCTGTAAATCAAATGTATGTGGAAAAAAGGGCATACAACGAAGTGGGAAATAAGAGAGCTAAGGACTTCAGGAAAGCAGAGAAAGCATTTCCGGGTCAAGAAGAGGTAGAAGAACTTTTGCAAGCTAAATGAAGAAGGATTTAATAAGAGAGAAACCTAAATAAGCATGAAATTGGAGGAGTGGAGAAGTGGGCTAAAAAGGTGATGCAAAGATCATATATGCAACCTGCTATGGGGAGTCCAATCAAAGACAATCAACTTCCAGCCTGGATTTCGTTAGAAAATTCTTCATTCAACAGGCACAAATTCAGCTTCTATTTTTATTTTCCTTTTTACACATAACAGTTGATCACTGGGTGAGCAAGATATACCCAGAGTTGGCACCCTCACTGTTGTGGAGTAACAGTTCTTGAAGGAAGGTTGTACATTGGGGTGAATGCGGAGAAAAGAAAGTGTTCTTGCTCTTCTCAGCTCAGGGAATTCATTCATTCATTCATTCATTCATTCATTCTTTACTGAAACTTTTTTTTTTTTTGGCATTTCCTAGGTTCCAGGCAAAAACACTTTTTCACGAGTGTAAGCAAGACCAATAAGTTTGTTCTTTTATGGCCCTTATTATTTTGCTAAAGATAAAGACAATAAACACACAAATAAGCAAGAAAATATCAGGTAATAACATCTGTGGTGAAGAAATTACAGCGGAATGGTGAGATAGAATATACATCTTCTTGCCTAAAGTGAATTATTAGACCCTTTTTATTTTTCCTTCCTGTCTTTCTCCTGACATCTTTTTCTTTCCCCTTTGCTTCCTTCGCACATTTTCTGGAGCCCATATTATGTATCAGGCATATCTGGTTTATATTTTTAGATTCCCTAAGCCCTACTTGAGAGGAAAAAGTACAGTATTTTGCACATAGTAGGCCTCAGTAAGTTGTTGGAAAGATTCAGTTGCTCGAAAACTTAAGACTGCATGAAATGAAGAACATAAAATATCAAAAGAGAGGAAAGAAAAAAATGAGCATAATTAACACAGAAACAGGTTAAAATTAGATGACAGTGAGCCTTATTGGCACAAATAATGACTACATCAATATGGCATTTGAAATAGCAGGACGCCATCATTTATCTCACTTTTGTGTCTCATCTGTCTTA